ATAAGTTTAAGTTCACGTATTAGATTTGGCTGTGGATATCTACTCTATCGAGTCAGGCTGATACATATAATTCTCTGCTTCTTAGAGTTGCATTTTGCATATCTATAAATGTGCAATATAATACTCCCTCCGGTCCAAAATAAGTGATTTTTTTGGTTGTTTTCACACGTATTAAGAAATTCACCTTTTAACATTAATTAGCAATGAAATTGACCCTATTAACCCTTACTATCTCTTCACATAAACACTCCTAACACATACTCCAACGTTATTTACTCCAAGGGCAATGTAGGAAAAAAATAATTAATTCATTCTTGAAATCTGAAAAATCACTTATTTTGGACCACAAGAAAGAAGCCAAAAAATCACTTATTGTGAACCGGAGGGAGTAAATAAATTAGCTATAAAGCCATCACAAAGTGAACACGAATTCCTAATTACATTAGATATTGAGATGCCAAGAATTAAGTAACCTGGCTTTCTTCAGAGCAGTATTTTGTGACTTCAATTAACTGAGAATCTTGCGCTTGCATTAGAGTCATTAGGCTGTGAAAAACGATGTTGTCGTCACAACAAAAAACCTCAGAATTCCAAAAATTTAACAACCAACAGGTTGTTAAGGAAGTTCATAGGATAATGCTAACTTTGTCACTCTGCTCCTTTGTCGGACTACCTTCCAGAAATGGACGCATCATTCAGATTTTCTCGCCTTAGCCATTCGGAAACTTTTAGATTTTTCGGTGGGGTGGTAATTAAAGCCCAGACCCATGTTATTTATTCAACCCATCTAAAGTTAGACCGCTTAACACATTTAAAGTTGGAATTTTTACATTCCTATACCACATAGGAAACCTTTTGACCCTCCACGTTTAAGGTTTGATTTAATTACAAACCCGTATATCAAATTATCAATCTTATACCATACTTAATTAAGGGTCTAATTAATGGGCAGTTTTCACTCCTTAATTAAAGGTATCCATATATCTCACGTTTCTCTCTCCCCTTAATTCCTAAGATCTGACCAGCGCCGTAAAAATCTCTTGCTTTTAAACAGATGGAAGTAATCTCTCACTCCGGCAAATACCAAATACCAGCGGCAAAATCAAATCAAATTAATCAAATCTTCGAAGTGTTTCTCTGCGTCTCTGTTGGGGTTAGCGAAGTAGAAGAAAGGCTCAAAGATGGAGGAAAATTTGAAAATGGAGGCAGTAAGCTAAGTTGAATTAGACGATGAACACAGAAGACTTCCTCAATCGATCAATCAACAATTCTCAATTGTAAATTTGTGGGGTAGCCATATGAATCTTCTGTAACCTCCGGCTCCATTTTGTCTATATTATTTCAATATTAAATAAATTGTCTTTTTAGGCAATTTAGAGGTTATTTAAAGGTAGAGATTCTTCAAGTGTCACACTTATCTGGCATTGACACACAAGTTCTTGACCAAACTGGGAAAAAACTTGGTTAACAAACATCTGACCCAATATAAGTGTGACAGTGTGGGTGCAATTGTAGTTTATTTGTAGAAATTTTGTAGATGAAGAGCAAATTGTAGAAATGTGACATCCACAATTAATCTGCAAATTGTCTACAAAATTTTACAAAAACTACAAATTAACTACATTTAACCTACATTATAACTACAATCTGGAAACAATTTACACATGGAAGTTCTTCAAGTTGGAATTGGCCACAGCTACATTTCTTGTTTTCTAGACACACAATGTACCGCTTCACACCATCTAACACAGTATGTATATGATCTGTTGAAGCCCTCACCTACATTTTCAGAACAAACACAAAGAAAAAAAATTTACAATATTAAAAATATAGTATCTACAATATATCTATATTTTATCTATAATTTATCTATAAATTAACTACAAACTATAAGTAAACTACAATTTGCCTACAATTTATCTACAATCTGGAGACACTGTATATTAAAATATTTTTTTCCTGCACCAAATAAAGAAATTGTAGTCAAATTGTAGATATATGTAGTAAATTTGTAGATAATATTATAAAACTAAGAAGACCTATTGCTGTTATTTTTTTCTTCTCATTTTTGTTGTTGTTTACAAGCTTTAAGTTATTGTCATTGATCTGCCTTTGAACTCTCCACTTTATGTCCATTTAATCGGTGCTTGTTTTTTTGAATCAGATGTGACATCATGCTAGCTGCATCTTGAGGAAAGCAAAGCAGATAAAATCGTATGCCATTTTCTTTTCTAGAAAAATGCAGTTAAGATGTGGTTTAGCGATACTAGAAAGGACTTTAATTATTGACTTTATTTTGATCTTAGCCTTGAAGATGTTGAATGGGTTGATCAGTTGTGGTGGGAGGATCAGTAGAAGATAAGGGTATATGTAGAGGGTGGTGGATCAGGATCCTCAAACATCCCTAATCCTACTGCAACGGAACTTGGTATTAAAGTCTCTCAAACCTCCCATGATAGAAGAAACGACGAAGAACAGATTTTTTCAACTTTGAGTTGTGAAACTCGAAAATTTGAATTGTTCGTTCTTTTTTTTTCGAGAATTTGAATTGTAGTTCTGGAGAAAAATATGCAGATGAGAAATCTCCTTTCCCTTTTTAAAAATTGAATTTAATGTAGAATCAATTAACACCAAGATTCTCTCCTTAATTTTAGGGAATATTCTGCCCTTTTAATGCCTAATAGTCGAATGGTACAAAATTTGTAGGCAAAACGTGAACTGGGCGGGTAATTAACAAACAATGCACATTTTTGGTAATAAGGTTTCATATATGGTATAGTTAGGAAAAAATGGCTGATTCTTAGCCCAAATTGATCTACGAACAACTTAGATAAAATATTTTTAAAATACTTCTTTTTCATTTGATACATTATATATGACCATAAAAAAAAGAGTCTTATTTGGTAATTAAACAATTTGTAAGAAAACAACACACATTGATTAAAGCTTGTTAAGAGTTGGGCGGATTACACTATGACCCAAGTTTTTGCCATCTTGCCTCAGTCCATCTCAACCTAAGTAACTTTAGGCGTGTTATTGACTCGTCTATTTGTTGACTTAATTCATTTTGACTCGCCCAAAATTAGTTAAACCCGCCCATTTGACAGCCCTACAACCAACTATATGGTCCAAAAAGCCTATTGTGAAGCAATTCGATAATTCAATTGATATATCAACTTCTAGACAAAAAATGTCGAACCGTGAAGCAACAACGAAGAGTTAAAACACATAATAGTGAATCTCACAACAAAAAAGCCAAAAAAAAAAAAAAAATCAGCAAACTAATAAATCTATTTTCGTACGAAAACTGACAAGTGAATAAACCAAATGAGTAAACTGGGTAATTAATCTCCGAGACCAGTTATTTAACTTTTATATTATTGTACCAAAAAATCACTGTACTAATTTTTTTTAGTAACGAAAGAAGGCCACTGTAACTATGCCTAAATATCACAGAGTCACTCAACTTAGTTTCGTGAGTTCTGTTATACTTAGCTTAGGTAACTTAACCAAAAAAAAAAAAAAAAATGGATAGTGAGTTTGGTGCAGTAAAATAAAAGTTAAGTGATCATCCATGAAATTAATCATAGTAAATTGATGTGATATTTTCGTTCTTTTTATTAATGTTTTATGTAAGCTCGTCAAATTTTAAGAAAATTTCATTGAAAGCTTATTTCAAAATTTAAAAGAGAAGTATAATATATATCGCCTTTTGGTTAATATTCCTTAAAAATGTTCCTATGTGATTTAGTCTAATACATAAGTTGGAGTTCAAAAATTAAAGTCAATTTGAATTTAAAGAATGCAGCAACATCAAGTGGAATTGTTAGAAGAAGAAAAACAAAAGGCCACATAGGTCCCAGTAACTAGGGGTGTTCATAAAAACCCGAAAAACCGAACCAAACCGAAAACCAAACCAAACCGACCAAAAACATCGATACTTTTTTATCTGGTTTGGTTTTGGTTTTGAATTTTAAAAACCGATCAAATTTGGTTTGGTTTTGGTTTTAATCAAAAAATAACCGAAAAAACCGAACCAAACCGACTATAGGAATAGCTATTTCAAATTTATTATTACACCTATATATATGTATATTTTTATACAAAGTTTCAAAATTTGTATGGTGAATGTTAATCGTTTGTACTTTTAGTACAGTTTTTACCTTTATATTCTAGTTTGATTGGTAGTTTTCTTTTATTAAGTGTAATAATCCATTTCATGTTTAAAAAAATATTTTTTTAATTGAGTCCTTAAATTATTCATGACTATTTGATTCAATTATCATTAGTATATTTTAGTAAATAATCGATTTCTCAAAGGGCAATTGATTTGATAGTGTTACGTTGAAAACGTGATCGCCGGAATATGTGTTTGGTAGTGTATGTCTTATATTTAAGAAAAAACCGATAAATAACCGAAAAAATCGGAAAACCGACAAAACCCGACGTAAACCGAATCGAGAAAAAACCGACTTAATTGGTTTGGTTTGGTTCTAATATTTGTAAAACCGACTTACTTGGTTTGGTTTCTTTTTAAAGAAAAACCGATCCAAACCGAATCATGAACACCCCTACAAGTAACTATATTCAGTACTTCAGCTATTCAGTTCAACAGTAGATGTCAAACGTGTGGTCCCTCTTTTAATTTTAACCCACAAAAAAATCTGAAATTTCCAACCCCTTGAACGCCTCAGTTCAATTATAAAAAGACTCTGATCTCCTTTAGTAGTAACCATTGAGAGCTGTTACAATTTGAAGTTCCAAATATTCTACTACCTTTAATAAACATGCATTTTCTCTCTCTTTTCTTAGCACTATTGATTTCTTGATTCTTAGCCCTTTTTGTTGCTCACACATACAAAAGTAGAAACAGAGCTAGTCCTGCAAAGAGTAGTAGTATATCATCAATTGGGGCACCTAAAGCTCCAGGTGCATGGCCATTCATAGGTCACCTCCATCTTCTTAGTGGCCAGGTCCCAGTTTGTCGAACCCTCGGACTCATGGCTGATAAATATGGACCCATTTTTCAACTTCAGCTAGGAACCCATCCGGCTCTTGTTGTAAGCAGTTGGGAAATGGTTAAAGATTGCTTCACTACAAATGACAAAATATTTGCAAGTCGACCGAAAATGACACTAAGCAAGTACTTTTACAATGATGCTGTTTTTGCTTTGGCCCCTTATGGACCATATTGGCGTGAAATTCGCAAAATGGCGACTCTTGAACTCTTCACCAATAGCCGGCTTGAGAAACTGAAGCATGTCCGTACATCAGAAGTGGATTGTTGTATTAAAGAATTGTACTCGTTCTGTAATAATAATAATAATAATTTCCCAACACAAGTGAACTTAAGTAGCTGGTTTGAGCACATAACGTGCAACATAATCATTAGAATGCTTGCTGGGAAGCGATTTTCGAGCAGTGTTAATGAACAAAGTGGAACAAAGGAAATGCAATTCAAAGAATCAATAAAGAAAGCCTTGTTTCTTGGTGGATCTTTTGTTGTCTCGGATGTAATTCCATCGCTTGAATGGATGGATATTGGTGGCCATATTAAAGCCATGAAGCAGACCTTTAATGAAGTTGATAGTGTATTTGATATCTGGTTAAAAGAACACATCCAGAAAAGAAAAGATTGTGATAATAGTAATACTGGAGATGATCACCAATCTGATTTTATCGATGTGATGCTTTCAACTCTTCCAGAGGAAACCATGGTGTCTGGATACGACCGTGATGCCATTATCAAGGCAACGACATTAGTAAGTTGTTATTAATCGCTTCATCTCAATATATTGTTGGGCACATGCCATGTTATCCAGCCAAAGGCCCAATGGCCTAATCCTGTTCTCTTTTGGTTTCCAATCCTATTTGGAATTGGATTCGGTTTATTCCTATTTTGAGTGGGTTTTGGCTTTAAGAGAAAGCACCACTCATGATCTATAAATAGGACAACCTTGGAGAATTATTCTATGCTCATTGATACAAGTCTTTGAAAGACTTAAGCACATAAGAGTGGGTTTTGAGAGAGCTTTCATCAAGAGAGAAGAGAGAAAAAAAGTATTTGTTTTGCTGCAGATTTTTATTTCGACCAGCCAACTTCAAATCACGTTTTCCGATTCGTTAACCGTTGGATCGGGCTGAAATTTTGACTGAGTGTTCATAACATCTTGGTCTTAGATTTAAACGGTGGAGATCGGATTTGGAGGCTCGTAGCATCTGATTTCGAGCCTAGAACAGCAGCTTCGTTTTGTGGATTATACTCTTTCTTCAATTGATTAGTTGTTGCTCTTGTTGCTATTGTTGCTCCGTGTTTGGCCCTTGTTGTGTAGCCAATTTGGAGAACTTTTGTAACCCTCTTATTGTTATTGTGGAGCTTTTTGGATCTTTGTGATCCCGTGATTTTTACCTTCGATTTGAAGGGTTTTCCACGTTAAAATTTGGTGTTTTTTATCTTCTTTATTTTCGGATTTGCCTCTTCCTCGACATAATAGTGGTATAAGAGCCTTGGTTATTTATCCGGGTTATTACGGAATGGAGGCGAATATGAGCAAGATGGTATGTTTAAATGGGAGAAATTATAATGTTTGGAGAAGCAAGATGAAAGACTTGTTGTTCGTGAAGAAGATGCATCTACCCGTTTTTTCAGCTCATAAACCCGAGAGTATATCCGATGAAGATTGGGATTTCGAGCACCAACAAGTATGTGGATATATACGGCAATGGGTTGAAGATAATGTTCGCAACCATATTGTGAACGAGATACATGCAAGATCATTGTGGGAAAAGCTAGAGACTCTTTATGCTTCAAAAACCGGGAACAACAAATTGTTTCTGCTAAAGCAATTGATGACCTTTAAATACAAGGAAGACAGCCCTATCCTTGATCACATAAATGATTTTCAGGGCGTCCTTGATCAGCTATCTGGAATGGGGGTTAATTTTGATGATGAGATACAAGGACTTTGGCTTCTTAATACTCTGACAGACTCTTGGGAAACTCTTCGTGTTTCTTTGACAAATTCAGCTCCTGGAGGTAAGGTGACCATGGAATATGCCATGAGTGGTGTGTTGAACGAGGAAGTAAGGAGAAAATCGCAGGGTTCATCCTCACAAGCAGATATCTTGGTTACAGAAGACCGGGGGAGAGATAGAACAAGAGGCTCAAGGAATAGAGGTAAAAGTAGAAGTAAGTCAAGGTCCAAATACTATAATGTTACATGCAACCACTGTGGCAAGAAAGGACACATCAAAAGGTTTTGCCGCAAGTTGAATCAAGACACTAGAGAAGGAAAGAAAGTTGAAAATAACGAGAACAATGTTGCTGCTATTGTTCAAGATGACCTTCTTTTTGCTTATGATGAAAACATCATCAATTTGGTATCCCATGAGACGAGCTGGATAGTAGATTCTGGAGCTACCTCACATGTCACACCAAGAAAAGATTTTTTCTCATCTTATACTCATGTTGATTCTGGAGTGTTAAAGATGGGCAATGCCAGTGAAGTTAAGGTGTTTGGTGTTGGCACAGTTTGTTTGAAAACTAATAATGGTTCAACGTTAGTTCTTCAAGATGTGAAGCATGCTCCAGACTTTCCTTTCAATTTGATCTCCGCAGGAAGATTAGACGATGAAGGTTACCATAATGCTCTCTTTAACGGCCAATGGAAGCTCACCAAGGGCTCGTTAGTAGTGGCTCGAGGAGTCAAGTCTGGTCAATTATATGTGACACAAGGCTCTATTCTTAATGACTCAATAAATCTGGTGGAAAGTGATAGTTTGTCAGAATTGTGGCATCGAAGATTGAGTCATATGAGTGAGAGAGGGATTACGTGTTTGGCTAAGAAAAGTTTGCTTTCTGGAGTAAAACAAGCAAAGCTGCAAAGGTGCATACATTGTTTAGCTGGCAAACAGAAAAGGGTTTCCTTTCATAGCCATCCTCCCTCAAGAAAGCCCGATTTATTAGAGCTAGTACACTCTGATTTGTGTGGTCCTTTTAAAGTAAAGTCAAAAGGTGGTGCACTTTACTTTGTGACCTTCATTGATGATCATTCTCGTAAGCTCTGGGTGTATCCTTTGAAATCTAAAGATCAAGCACTTGGCGTGTTTAAGGAATTTCAGGCCTTAGCTGAGAGACAGACGGGGAAGAAATTAAAATGTATTCGCACTGACAATGGTGGTGAATATTGTGGTCCCTTTGATAACTATTGCAAGGAACAAGGAATTCGTCATCAGAAAACTCCGCCCAAGACGCCTCAATTGAACGGTTTGGCAGAGAGGATGAATAGAACTCTAGTTGAGAGAGTTAGATGCTTACTTTCAGAGGCTAAACTTCCAAATACATTTTGGGCGGAAGCACTTAACACTGTTGCCTATGTTATCAATTTGTCTCCTGCTGTTGCTTTGGATGGTGATGTCCCAGACAGAGTTTGGTTTGCCAAAGATGTTTCTTATGATCACCTGAGAGTTTTTGGGTGTAAAGCTTGTGTGCATATTCCTAAAGATGAGAGATCGAAACTGGATGTCAAAACTAAGCAGTGCATCTTTATCGGTTATGGTCAAGATGAGTTTGGGTATCGTTTTTATGATCCAATTGATAATAAACTTATTAGAAGTCGTGATGCAATATTCTTTGAAGACCAAACTATTGAAGATATTGACAAAGCTGAGAAGATAGATTCTCAGAGTAATGAGAGCTTAGTTGATATTGATCCAGTTTCAATTGCTAAGGCACCTATTGCACATGAAGGAACCCAAGACAATGATGGAGATAGTGATCAAGATCAAAATGATCATCATGGTGTAGATGTTATGGATGCTCCAGTTGATGAAGTTGTGGTTGATCAGCAACCAATTCCTGCACAGGTAACTACTACGAATGCTCCTGAAACCTCTCTTAGAAGATCTACAAGGGAGAAGCAAAAATCCATGCGCTATCCTCCTGATGAGTATGTACTTTTGACTGACATGGGAGAACCTGAGAATTATGATGAAGCCATGCAAGATAATCACAAAGATCATTGGATCGAAGCGATGGAAGATGAGATGAAGTCACTCCATGAGAATGGCACATATGAGTTAGTGAAATTGCCGAAAGGTAAGAGAGCTTTATCTAACAAATGGATATTCAGAATAAAGCAAGATAACCATACCTCTGCGCCTAGATACAAGGCGAGGTTAGTTGTTAAAGGTTTTGGCCAGAAGAAGGGAGTTGACTTTGATGAAATTTTCTCCCCTGTTGTGAAGATGTCTTCTATTCGTGTGGTTCTAGGCTTAGCCGCAAGTCTAGATTTAGAGGTTGAGCAGATGGATGTCAAGACTGCTTTTCTTCATGGTGATTTAGATGAGGAGATTTATATGGAGCAACCTGAGGGTTTTGTAACTAAGGGAAAAGAAAATTATGTCTGCAAATTGAAAAAGAGCCTGTATGGATTGAAACAAGCTCCAAGGCAATGGTATTTGAAGTTTGAATCTGTCATTGAAGAACAAGGGTACAAGAAAACTTCTTCAGACCACTGTGTATTTTTCCAGAAGTTCTCTGATGATGATTTTATTATTTTATTGCTTTATGTGGATGACATGCTTATTGTTGGAAAGAATAAATCCAGAATTGCAGTCCTTAAGAAGCAGTTGAGCAAATCGTTTGCGATGAAGGACTTGGGGCCAGCAAAGAAAATCTTGGGCATTCAAATCCACCGACACAGAGACAGAAAAGAGTTATTTCTGTCCCAAAAGCAATACATTGAGAAGGTACTCAAGAGGTTCAATATGACAGATGCAAAAGTGGTTAGTACACCTCTTGCTAAACACTTCAAATTGAGTATTAGTCAGAGTCCATCTACTGATGAAGAGAAAAAGGAGATGTCTCGTATTCCTTACTCTTCTGCCGTTGGTAGCTTGATGTATGCTATGGTTTGCACTAGACCAGATATTGCACATGCCGTTGGCACTGTTAGCAGATTCATTTCCAATCCTGGAAAAGAACATTAGGATGCAGTAAAATGGATATTAAGGTATTTAAAAGGTACTGCAGATTTGAAGCTGTGCTTTGGCAATGGCAAGCCTGAACTTGTTTGTTACACAGACTCTGATTTAGGAGGCAATCTTGATAATTCAAGATCCACTTCCGGTTATTTGATCACTTTTGCAGGAGGAGCTGTTTCTTGGCAATCTAGACTACAGAAGTGCATAGCTCTATCCACCACAGAAGCCGAATATATTGTTGTCACAGAAGGTGCCAAAGAACTATTATGGATGAAGGAGTTTATTAATGATCTTGGCTTTGAGAAGCCACGGTACATCTTATTTTGTGATAATCAGAGTGCTATCTGTCTCACCAAGCACTCCACTTTTCATTCTAAGACCAAACATATAAATAGAAAGTATCATTGGATAATAATGGTTGTGGAAGAGAAATTATTTGAGGTTAAGAAGATACACACTGATGAAAATCCTTCGGATATGCTGACAAAGGCGGTGGTTGCAGATAAACATGAATTTTGTAGAAAATTGGCAGGCATGAAGCCTGTCAATAGTTCCTCTACTTGAAGACACATTTGGCCCCTTGGCTGGAGGGAGAGTTTGTTGGGCACATGCCCATGTTGTCCAGCCAAAGGCCCAATGGCCTAATCCTATTCTCTTTTGGTTTCCAATCCTATTTGGAATTGGATTCGGTTTATTCCTATTTTTAGTGGGTTTTGGCTTTAAGAGAAAGCACCACTCATGATCTATAAATAGGACAACCTTGGAGAATTATTCTATGCTCATTGATACAAGTCTCTGAAAGACCTGCACATAAGAGTGGGTTTTGAGATAGCTTTCATCAAGAGAGAAAAGAGAAAAAAAGTATTTGTTTTGCTGCAGATTTTTATTCCGACCAGCCAACTTCAAATCACGTTTTTCCGATTCGTTAACCGTTGGATCGGGCTGAAATTTTGACTGAGTGTTCATAACATCTTGGTCTTGGATTTGAACGGTGGAGATCAGATTTGGGGGCTCGTAGCATCTGATTTCGAGCCTCGAACAGCAGCTTCGTTTTGTGGATTATACTCTTTCTTCAATTGATTAGTTGTTGCTCTTGTTGCTACTGTTGCTCCGTGTTTGGCCCTTGTTGTGTAGCCAATTTGGAGAACTTTTGTAACCCTCTTATTGTTATAGTGGAACTTTTTGGATCTTTGTGATCCCGTGGTTTTTACCTTTGATTTGAAGGGTTTTCCACGTTAAAATTTGGTATTCTTTATCTTCTTTATTTTCGGATTTGCCTCTTCCTCGACATAACATATATGTTCCACAAAATTTCTTTTAATTCTTTGATTTGAAAAACCACCTACTTCACATGCAAAATATTCCCTCTGTCGCATGTGTTGTACTTATAGCTAAGCTAGAGTTTGACCATAGATTGCCAAATATGTTTTCAAAAATCTGTTTTTGGGTGAAGTTTGATTTGAAGATGAAAATCTGTTTGAACATTATTTTTCAAAACATATTTCACATTTTTTTTTTTGAAAAAACATAAAAGGTGACTTATATCCATAAGTTCTAAAAAATATCAAAAATACCCAACAATGCCAAACAAACAACTTGTTAATCATGTATATGTAGAACCTTCATCGATGTCATTCATTATCATTATCACAAACCATAGTCCTCACCATAGATAAGTTTGGCACAAAATCATCTATTTATAATGAATTACATAATACACTATCCTAAAATCATAACTTGATATTTTAATAACAACTGCTAATAACACAATCACTAGCTATTACAATTCGTCAAATTGCAAAATATTATAAGATCCATCCGCCCCCAAAAAAAAGATAGTAACTAGCTAGTGGATTAGTTGGATCATAATAGGTGGTGCATTTTTTTATAAATTACAAAGTTTGGGGTAATTTTTGAAATTATTAAAAAATCCAAAGGTAATTTTTGGGCCAAAAACAGGTATAGAGCTAGTTTTGGGATTTAAAATTTTATTTTCAAAATCTGCCAAAACAAACAGGTTTTGCCAAAAAGAATTTGGAAAAAAACTTGGCAAAATATATGGCCAAACGGGGCGTAAATAAATGCAAAAAAAAGAATGATCAGTGATGATAGGCTATAATTGCATATTTTAGTCGCTTATTACACTCGAATTTAATGCACTTTAATTGAGTTTGCGCTTTAATCGCTAGTGTTTTGCACTAATTGTGTGTTTTATGCCTTGTAGGTGTGATTCCGAGCTATATAGATGTCATGGAATGAATTTAAGTGATTTGAAGCTTTGAAGTCTGAGTAAAAGCTCAAGGAATTAAGCCGGGATCGTGTTCGGGGGTCAAATTTGATAATTAAGTACGAACGAAGACTTGAGGAGGCATATTGCGCACTGTCTAGTAAAATAGACATAACCTTTTGCTCAGAACTCCATTTGGGCTCCACAATATATGGTTGGAAAGCTAACTCAAAGGGCTACAACTTTCATGTTTTACGTTTTGCCAAATTCCAAACTGAACAGGGTGAAAAACTGCGGTTTTGCCGCGACCGCGGCAGAACCGCGGTAGAAGATGGTCGCGGACAACTGAAGAATCAGAGGGCATGTTTGGCCGCGGTTCCACCGCGACCGCGGCAAAACCGCGGCAGGAAGCGAAAATTTCAGGGACTAAAGTGCAAAACATGGGATTTTAAGTGCTAAACCCTATATTAAACAAAGGAGGCCGGCCAAGAACAAGAAGGGGACATATTTTGAGACATAGATTCGACCTAAGGAGGCAAGAACACATTGGGAGCAAGGCGGAAAATTCTTCTACGAGTTTTTCCTTCCTCTTCCTATTTTTCATTGTTGGTTATGACTTTTAGTATTGTAGTTTTACATACTATTATGAATAGCTAAGTTGTTATCTAGAGTTTGATAGAACCTTTTGTAGGATAAATTCTTGTTATGTTTTTATATAATTGAGCCATAGCTTTTCTCTATTTGTTCAACTACGTTTATATTCTGGTTGATTGAAGAGCTCTCAATTAGCTGTGCCTATTTAGTATGCATAACTCGGGAGAGAGTGCATATTTAGGTAGTTGTTGAACAACACCACTCCCAGAGTATATGAGGGATCAATAACCGAGGGTTTAAAGGTGGGATTAGGGATAACGAAGCCTTGGGTGCGATCTGAAGTGAGCTGTATTAAAAGCCAGCTAGCGTATCTCGGGAGAGTGCGTCTAGTAATTTGTCGTAATTACTCGGGAGAGAGTTACGGTAATAAGAGTGCTCATGATCGGTAGAGAATACTTAGGCGAAATTATAGAAGACATAGCGGGAAGGATTCCGACAATAGGGGAAATCATAACTCTAGACCTCCTTAATCTTTTCTCTAACCCTCAGTATCGTTATTTTTTAATTTACTATTTTAATTTGTTAGTTAATTAGTTAAACAGAAGAATCTTAATATCTATAAGTTAGGAATTGTTCAAGCTTGTCTTCTTGGTGATAGTTAACAGCTGTAGCTAAACCTTAATTCTCTGTGGGATTCGACTCCGGACTTGTAAACCGGATTATATTTGCAACGACCGCATTGCCCTTTTTATAAGGCATAGTTGGGCGTGATCAATCAGACTTGTTAAATGGAAAGAATTATAACTTACTGTACTCTTCGAGTAATTTTTAAGATATAATTTTGCTCTAATCAACATATATTGAACACTGACAAAACCGATTGTCAAAACTCTATGTACAACTAAATTATGAGAAAGAGGAAGTACTTTATATTCGTCGCATAGTTGATATTCAATGGGAAAGAACGTCTAAATTAGATCTTGTTTTTTATATTAATAGCACAGTGAGTGCTTAATGTGGTATCATTTATAAAGCATATTATCTTTCAATTTATTAAGATAGTGGAGTATTTTTCATTTCAAATCTCCAATTGTTTGGCTATCGTCTTATTTACTTGTGAATTGGCTCAGATACTTATCATGACTGCATCAGAGAGCACAGCGGAGACATTAATATGGGCACTTTCTCTGCTAATGAATGACCGTAGCATACTGAAAATAGCCCAAGATGAGCTAGATGAGCACGTAGGAAGCAACAGATGGGTTGAAGAATCCGACATGAAAAACCTGAAATATTTACAAGCCATAGTAAAAGAAACATTACGTTTGTACCCACCTGGTCCTTTGGCAGGACCTCGAGAGGCCATTGAAAACTGCTATGTTGGCAAGTATCATATTCGAAAGGGCACTCGTTTGATTGTCAATTTATGGAAACTTCAGCGCGACTCGAGTATTTGGGAGAATCCTAATGAGTTTAAACCAGAGAGATGGTTCTTGAAGGAACATATGAACATTAATTTTAGAGGACAGAGTTTTGAGTATATTCCCTTTAGCTCTGGCAGAAGAATGTGCCCTGGTTTGACTTTTGGCACACAAGTAGTGCATTTGACACTAGCAAGATTACTTCATGGATTCAATATATCAATGCCAAGGGAGGAACCAGTAGATTTAAGTGAAGGCTTGGGCATTGCCTTGCCCAAAATGAAACCTCTTCAACCTCTTCTTACTCCAAGGCTGCCTATGGAACTCTATCAAAGTCTTTGAGCAAGTAAAGAAAACAAAGGATATGTAGTTCGAGTATATATTATAATTAGTCGAATGACTAATGTATGCTTAATTAGCAGTATCAAATAACCATAATATGTGTTTTAAAAGGTTTACGGTTCAAATGTCAAGAACCAACATATTATTTAATGTTCGGAGAAGTTATTGATCCTTATACTAAACAAAATTTATGTTTTAAAATTACAAATATTGTGCTCTTAGTCTCGGTTAAAAACTGAATATGGATATACTTCCGTTATCTTAACCATAGTTAAAAACTTGTTTTAGTTCAATCAATTTAGACTATTAGTGTTACAATGGACATGTGTCACATGTTTAAACTGTTGGATTATATAATGCAGCGGAAGCAATTGCAGTATCATATTCACGTGTGAATTAAATAATTAGCATATACGGAGATTATTCGAGTTACCCCTTGAAGCGTGAATAAAGCAAATCAATATCCGTCTCCAGTTCCAAAGTTGCAAGACCTCAGCAATATATTGGGGAAAATTGTATTTATATATATGGTAACGTGTCATGGCACGTAGACTGATCAAGCAGTCAAAGAATTAAGGTTGGTTAACAGACACGAACAACAATAGATACGAGCAAGTTAAATGAAGAAGGCACGAGCAGTCATACAAATAATTCAACGTTCGTACCTATTCAAGACATTCAAAGGTCAAAGATCGAGAAGAGACAAAGGAATGAATCTGACAGCAAAAAAGAGCCCAGATACAACATTTAATGAGTATTAAATACTAGAAACGTTAGAGAATATGTATTTAATGTATATGATTGCATAACGTAATATTTAAGGTCATTAAATTACCCATAATTGTCTTATTATGACAAAGGGAAAGTCTGTATTCCCAAAATAGCTATAAAAGGGAAAGTCACAAACAACTGTAAGGGGACAAAAAAAATACTATTGGAATATACTTTATTTTATTTGCTTTCTGATTATATTATTCAAAATCTCTTTCTTATATACTTCTCCGATTATCAGTAACCCGAGTTCTTCTAAATTCAAGCTTTGACCTAAAATCTAATTTTTGGTTAAACAAATTGGTTCCGTTACCGGGAATCTGATAATCAAGCATATCTCAACCTAATTTTCTTGATTGCATCAATCATGTCGAACAACAATGACAACACTCAAGGAAACCCAGAAATTCAGACAATCCAACAACTTCAGGGAGATTCCCCATGAGGCTCTCCACAAGGTTCTCCACGAGGCTCCCCACGACGGTCTCGTGAANATAATAACGTGAAACGAGTTTTGGTTGATCCAGGTAGTTCCGTAAATATTGTTTTAATACGGGTATTGCGCGAGATGCAAGCGGAGGATAAATTAATCCCAAAGGCGCATACTTTGTCGGGATTTGATAACTCTAGTGTTGTAACAAAAGGGGAGGCAATACTTACCACATTCGCAGAAGGTGTCGTTAAAGATACCAAATTTCAAGTGGTAGATATGGAAATGGCTTACAATATGATTCTTGGGAGGCCATGGATTCATGACATGGAAGTTGTTCCTTCAACTTTACATCAAGTTATTAAATTCCCATCTCCATGGGGAATATGCCAAATCAGAGGTGATCAACAAACATCTAGAAGCATCAATCCGTTGCAGATTCAACAGTTAAAGGTGAAGACAAATAGCAATTACAGAATTTAGGTGAGGGTAACACGGAGTCAACCTCACCTGAGCAAAAGCAAACAGATCTGGATTCAAGACCTGATACCATTCAAGAACCGGAGGAGAATGAGAACATCAAAACAATGATAGAAGAGCTAAAGGCCGTGGTGTTATTTGTACATTGGCCCGAGAGAAAAGTGTACATAGGAGCTAATCTTAGCCCGGAGGTAAAACATAAATTGATTGAATTTTTAAAAGCTAATGCGGACTGTTTTGCTTGGTCCCATTCTGACATGACAGGAATACCACCGGAAGTCACGACTCATAAGTTGAATGAAGATCCATCATATCCTCCCGTCAAGCAGAAGAAAAGAAAGTAAGGAACTTTTAAAAATAAGGTGATTCAAGAGGAAGTTCAAAAGTTGCTAAAAATTGGTTCAATTCGTGAGGTAAAATATCCTAACTGGTTAGCTAATACTGTTGTGGTTCCTAAGAAGAACAGTAAGTGGCGAGTCTGTGTAGATTACACAGACCTTAATAAAGCATGTCCAAAAGATTCCTTTCCTTTACCGCACATAGATCAGTTAATTGATGCTACTGCAGGGCATGAGCTATTAAATTTTTTAGATACATATTCAGGCTATAATCAAATCAAGATGGATCCAGGAGATGAAGAAAAAACTTCTTTTATAACAGACATGGGGACTTACTATTACAAGGTAATGCCCTTCGGTCTTAAAAATGCAGGTGCAACGTATCAAAGGTTGGTCACCCAAATGTTTCAAGAACATTTAGATTAAGGCCATTGAAGAAATTCCGGATATACTTTCCAACAAGAAAGAGGTTCAAAGACTGACAGGAAGAATCGCAGCTTTGGGAAGGTTCATTTCTAAATCATCGGAAAAATGTTTTAAATTCTTCTCGGCTCTTAAGAAGCAGGATCATTTTGAATGGGATGAGGAGTGTCAACAATCACTTAGGGATTTGAAAATATACTTGTCAAATCCACCTTTGCTAGCAAAACCCAAGGCTGGGGAGAAACTTTTCATCTACCTTGCTGTTTCAGAAGTTGCGATAAGCGCAGTTTTGGTTCGAGAGGAGCAGGGTAAACAATCTCCTATCTATTATGTTAGTAAATCTTTGTTAGATGCAGAGACACGGTATCCACAATTGGAAAAATTAGCACTTGCTCTAATCATGGCATCTAGGAAGTTAAGACCTTACTTTCAATGTCATCCCATTGTCGTAGTGACTGCATATCCCCTACGTAATATATTGCATAAACATGAATTGTCGGGAAGATTAGCTAAATGGGCCATAGAGCTAAGTGAATATGAAATCACGTACTTACCTAGAACAGCAATAAAATCACAGATATTAGCTGATTTCGTCGCTGACTTTAGCCAAGGGATGCAATTAGAAGCAGAAAAAGAAGTACAAGTACTTAATGGGGCTAATCCTGGAACATGGACCTTATTTACTGATG